CCCACACTCACTCTCTCACTCTCACCCACACTCACACACTCTCACTCACACTCTTACTCACTCACTCTCACCCACACTCACTCACACTCTCATGCACTCACACCTACTCACACTCACTCACTCACTCCCATTCACTCACACTCACTCTCACCCACACTCACTCATTCACTCACTCACTCACTCACACACTCTCACTCACACTCACTTACTCTCACTCATTCACTCTCACACTCACTCTCACTCACTTTCACTCACTCACACACTCACCCACACTCACACTCACACACACACACACTCACCCACACTCACTCACTCACTCACACATACGCTCACGCTCTCCCTCCCTCAGTCACTCTCTCATTCACTCAGCGTTACAAAGACACAGAGATACACACACAGACTGAGAGTGGCTGGTGTGTGTTGCGGAGTGTGTACATGAGTGAGTTTGTTTACACTGTAGTCCCCTCACGCAAACACAGACACAGTTACACATTTGTTATTCTGATAGCCCCCTTCAGTCTCATTGTTAAGAATTAAGTCTCAATAATTTTCTTACTCTTGTTTATATAAATTCGTGAAACAGTTTTGAATTTTTTTGGGAGAGCTGTAATGTCAGTCAGGAGGTCCTTGTAGACTCTGTGAATGTCCAAGTCATTCAGTAAATTGTAGTTCAGGACTCCATGTAAAATCTCCTTGTTTCTGGAGATGGCACCTTTAAAATGGAATAAGAAACATTTTGTGAGTGATGGATTCATATCGACAAGGCGATTGTCCCAAAACCACTCAAAGAATCAGAAGCTATCCCTCAAATCACAGAAAGGCACAGCATTGAAACAGGCCACTCAGTCTGTAGTGTCTGTACTGGCTCTCTGTGGAAGTACCTGCACTATTGTCCCAGCCTGGTCGGTAGGTGACTGTAGTGCACAAATCTTCATGATTTGACACTAGAGACTCAGCACACTCCAGGTGCACACACCCATTTCCTGCAGGCAGCAGCGGATTCTCTCCAAATCTCTCTCAAACCCAAGACAGGTCTGCACACAGCAGAGATGGAACGCTTTCCCCACTTGTGAGCTGTTTTAGATGTATCCTCAATAGCAGCAGAAGCAAGCCAACTTGAGAAAGCAGTTTTTCAAACCCTGGAAGGAACAGTGCGGATGTACCTGCCTGAGGATGCAATGGAGGCAGCTCAACAGGAAATCAGGACATTGAAAAGCAACAAGGTACAGGATAACAGGGAGAAAGTGTGATAATGGTCACTTACACAGAAAGGGGCACAACCAACTTCCTGAGTGACCTCCATCAACACGATGAAAATCCTGTCAGTACAGGGCTTAGTGATCTACTTGGCCAGACCCTTCACGATATCAAACAGCTCAATCAAACTGCCCTGTAATCCAACATTTTCTAAGAAAAGGAAAGCGCAGTTTCGGCACCCACTGAGAGTCAGCGTGTGTGGGACTGTA